CCTTCCAACCTGAGGGGCTCATCTTCTGGCACTATATCAAACAGTGTTCTGCTGCTATTCATAAAGTTTCCACTGGCCAATTTTTTCAGAAGTAGACTGCCAGGTCCTTCTTCCTAGTCTGTCTTAGCTGGAAGCTCTGCTGAAACCTCTCCACCAAGGGTGACCCTGCTGGTATTTGAAATACTGGTGGCAAAGCTTCCTGTATCATAGTAACATGCAAGCCACCACAGTACAACAAACTGACACTCACTCTTCATAGCATGCATCTACTTGACATATTATAGATTTACTAGTGATTTGTGCATTGGCTTTGCCCACCTCCCACCAGAAGGTAAGCTCCATGAGGGCAGGGTCTTTGTTTTGTACACTGATGTATCCCCAGTTCCTAGCACAGTGCCTGGTACATTGTAGGAACTGTCAATAAATGTTGAATGAACAAATGTTCATGGGCTCAGATTTGAACACGTGGAGTTTGAGGTGCTTCCAGCCCCTAGAAGAAAAGGTCTATTAGAGATGCAAGTGTGTGGTGGGAAAATGGGTGTACAGATGGCTGAGATCATCTGTCTGTGACCAGAGCCAGCTTCATAGGCCTGTGACCTGTGTGAAGTCATACAACACCCTTTGCTCAGAAGAGCCTCATGCTTGGTTTAATGCTAATCTTGCAATTCTTAATAACTGTATCTTTGAGCCTGTGTTTTGTAAGTGAAGTCTGATTGGCAACAGAACATACCTGTGAGAAGAAGAGATATGTGCAATATGTATGTCTGATGTTTCTTGCTGCTGCCTTCATATGCAGCATTCATTAGGCCCATGAGCACAGAATTCTGGTGGGCCCACAATGTGTAGGGCTTCAGTAAGACTCAAAATGAATACAAGGTAGGCATGTCACATCTACAAGAGTAAGCTGGGGCACTGACAGCTTTGAGAGACCACCACAACTTGCATCCAACACAGGAAGAAGGAAATGGCATTCTAAGGGAAAAATAGCTCCTTTTCCTTTCAATCCTTCCTTCCTCATCAGTAAGCCAAAGGTAGAGGTGTTGGCAGAATGTGCGCATGTGAAGAAGTGAAATGAAACTGTTTAGTTTCGTGCAGCATCTCCCCCGTTCTGGTAAGAGCTAAATGCATATGCCCGTACATGCTACAGAATACAAACTGTGCAATTTATGTAATTTCACATATAAGTTAAATGCTCTTAGATTTGCATTTAGAACTGGCATTGCTCAATATAAAGAACAGTGAAATTCATGCTAATGATTTTTAATTTTTCTTTGCTTAGAACGATATCAAATAAAAAATACCATGACAAGCTAAGAGACTAGGTAAGAAATGAAAAAGCTTTACATTTTAATACCTTTAATGGTACTTTTTTCTTGCTTTTTGAGCAAGGGGCTCTATATTTTTATGTTGCACTGGGCCCTGCAAATCATGCCCTGCCTATAACTGCTACAAAGGAGGCAAACACAGGTCCTACCTGATAGGCAAAGTGTCATCATTTTAATTGGCAGACGATTCTGTGTGTGTGTGTGTGTTTTCCAGTTTGCATCGGGGCCCTGCATGTGGGGCTGGGGAGAGGATGGCTGGGCATTGGGGTTCAGATGTGGTACTACTGCCACCTTGTGTTCAATATAGCACATAGCACATAGATCCTGGAAGGAGACTCAGGCACATCTGCAGCTGCTTCCAGAAGTGCTGAAACCACTCACACTCCATAGCCAAACTGGTAAACCAGTAGGATTACTATTCAG